CTAGAGAGTTGTTCTCTCAGATTTAAAAAGTAATTGTTTATTTATTTGCGTTTTCCCCCCACTTTCATGGGGGTCCTGTGCCCCTAACCCCAGCAAATGTGGAGAGACAAGTGTACACTGAAAGTGCACGATTCTGCATTCACTTGGGGAAAGGAATTAGAGTAATTGTTTCATTCTACATCGAAGCAGTTAATTACATTATTAAAAACAATGGGTTTATTCCCCTCCATCTATCTCTGTACAGTTCCTAACATAATGGAGAATGGAGGCTGAAATCCCTACAAAGCCTTCAACATATAGTGTTTGGTAATATTTAACCACCAAGGCCAGAGTTTCTGATTTGCAGGATGGGGATGAAGAAACCTACAAATATAAATGCAAAAATAAAAGCAAAGGATTTAACAGCACATTTTGGTTAGTGGAATTTTTTTTTCCAGACAGTCTGTCTGGCCAGATAATCCTTGGGAGCAGGATACAAGCCTTCACAGAAGGAAAGAGATAAGAAGAAGAATGAAGCTGGAATTGGTTCCAATCCTGGGAATTTACAGAAGCCACTGCAATCATGAAATAAATAGGGAACCCCCACCCCTGTTAAATAAACAAGGAACTGACTTCAGCTTCATGTAGGTCCAGTAATATGGTATATTCAGAGCAAAACCTTGCAGCAGAATGAAATCTGGCTTGCCCTTGTAACATGGACCAGCTGACATCAGGCATGTTAACATTTCTATAATATTCCATCTTCACAGCCAAACGAGTTACAGGCTGCTCCATTTCTTTCCCATCCCTGCATGCTCACCTGCTGCATCCAAAACTTCTTTGTCTATCCGATCAGACAAGAGACAGAAGAGACCATCTTTGCCAGCTATGCCTGCTAACAACTCAGACTGAGGGATTGGTTCATCTGAATCCCATTGCTGGACACTGCAACTGCAAAGGAAAGATGAAAGGCAAAATTAAACAGAGCCAGAGCTTAGAAATGTTACTTTTGAACCACTGGTTGGTGGGTCTGGGAGTTGTACCCCTTAAAATACCATTTCAGAATTCTGCAGAAAAATATATCCGGTGACAAGATAAAATTACTGAAGGCAGCCAACTTACAAAATATCAAATTACTCCATTCAATTTTTTAGCTGTCTGATTAGCCAAGGCTAGGTCTAATCAAAGAATATTAATGAGCAGGTCTGGGATTTAAGGGCACAGGTGCTTAAATCTGAGGGCATTTTGGTCTTGGCATGTTATACTGCTGGGGAACAAAAAAGAAAAATTGAAGAGCTACTCCTTCTACCAAGGAGTGATATACCAAAGCTACTGCTGTTTCAAAAAGGCCAAGATATTGGAAATTTATTTGCATTTTTATTGATTAAATGGGAGATCACAGTCATTTGCACTTTAAATTATTGATTAAATGGGAGATCACAGTCATTTGCACTTTAAATTTCATATTCTGACCAGCTATGACAGACTCTCAACACTGTTGCCCTGCTATATTTGACATCTGCAAATATTCTGCTCTCCACTTTATCTCTACCCCTTTTTGTCCCCATCCACACTGAGTTGGAATTATATCCTGCAACAATGTCTGCCTTGACAACCTTCCCTTGCTTGCTGCTGCTTGTTTTGAGGAGCCACACACTGGGAACCACTATGCAGGAAATCAAAATAGCTACCGTATTTTCCGGCGTATAAGGCGACTGGGCGTATAAGACGACCC